AAAAAAAAAGAATGGCAACACCCAAAAAGGCAGACAGCGGGAGACACTTGCATTCCCAAACCAAATGGGCAAAAAAAGAACATGTTTTGCATCGGCCAGGAATGTTAGAGCTGATAATCGAAGAGTACATGTACGCGCCTTCCCCGGATAATTTCCGCTGCCTCTCTTAACACCGGCATCTGAGATATTGAACGGTCCCTCACGACAGCTTGGCACTTCCGTCTGCTTGCGCCGTTCGTGTTCGTCATCTCTAATTCCAAAACTTGAAACTTGCCGAACGGCCACCGTCAGCTCGTGAAGGACAATGCCGTCTCCAAATCGTCGAGGTCCTCCCATCAACGTTTCGCCAGGCTGACCTTGTGTTGGGGGCGCTCAGTTGGGCATCCTTGCTGCAAGTCTGCCATTGTGTCGGGACGGAATATAAACTTAACCGGCTTGTCCGGAGCCTACTCCGCTCGTTGCATCCCTCAATGTTATTTTCATGCCGGCAGCTTTCCCGTGTCGGCCTAACGGTCCTCCTGTGCTAATATGGCAAGGCGACTCACATTCACAGCTGCCATTCTTGTGTTAGCGTTTTGCATCACTACCGACTGGTAAGATAACCGCTTAGCATCGAGTAGCTATTCATTGCTTCAGATTCCCGGGGCCCATTATTCTGGAACGAGATCCATCCAGCGACATGTCATTGACGGGGTCTGTTGACAACGCTGAAACCTGCACGACGGAAACATCCATGCGCGGCACTTATGCATCGGATGGCACTTGGTCACACCCTACGCTCTTGGTTCTACGAGCACTATGTGTCAGGGGGACCTCTGAAAGTCAGAGTTCGATTTGGGCTCGAAGACGGACTGGAACTATGTTTCGGAATCATAAAGCCGTGACTTATGGGGTTAGGAGCGCATCGTAGCGTCAACCACCAACCTCCGCACGTCAACATAACGGCGCACAGTATCACCTGTTCGCGCATACTAAGCTTTTATTCATACCAAGTATGACCTTGCAAGCGATCCGTACAGCACCGTATGTCTCGTATTCCAGTTGTAGATATTCTAAGCGAATGTAGGGTTCGGACGGCCACTTAGCTTCGGTATTTCTACCTGGTATACACAGCAAGATTCCCTGCTCCTTTGTAGTTTACTGCAGCATCTATTGCATCTGGACGGGGAACATTGCAGGTAGAAACACACCGAGGCGCTTGTCTCCTGTATGTGCACAGGTTTCCAAGATTGCGTTTGCTAAAGATACATCAGTGTTCACGGCAGTCAATTTAGTGGCTTGTACTTTACCCGTCTCTATGCGATCTATGGACGCTATCGACAGCCATGCATCCATGGCACGATGAATAAGAGATCTTTGCGGAGAATTTATCACCATACTCGGGAAAACTCCGACCAACCTTGTGCACGTCATCGGAGGATGATTACCGCACTAGGAAACTCGGGACATTGCACGAAGCTGCGCCGAAACAGCCCAGTCGCCGACACACATCGTGGGCAGGGTTGTATGACCAGCCCGGAAGACCAGAGCGGGCAAATCAGATTGTTGGTATGGCCCCACAGCGAAACGTACTGTAGCTCTTCAGCATCGAGGACAATCTTTGAGATTTAAGGGCTACGTGAGACACGCACGTGTACAACAGACTAGTCGCTTCGATTAGTGCTTAGAGCCAGCGAGTCTAAATGGTCCAGATGTCGCTGCTAGAAGAGGTGAACGCAAGCCTGGATTACGTTAGTTGCGGTCGTGCGGGGTCGGGCCGATTGACATGCGTACCGTACCTAGGTTGTGATGAGGAGAAAGCAACTATGGATCGGGTGAGCCCACGAGGTCATCACTCCAACTACCCCAACTACTAGCTCATCGTGATATGGTCTCAGCGACTCTTGTCAGCATCGGTACCAGGATGACCGTTCCCAGAACGCCGCTCCGCTAAAGCAAGATGCACGGATGCCACAGTAACCTGGCTGATACCTCCGATTCTCAAAACGACTATTAGCATGGGACAAGGTACACATGAGAGCGCATTCCTAGATCTCAACTACTTACTCGTTTTGCGTGGAAGCGATGGCCATTATTAAGTCATGCTACGTTCCAGGTCTCAGTACCGCGTCCCGACCGCTTTGACCCATCTACCTGGAAGAAACACGTCATTCCCGTGTGCCAATGTCGCTTCATTGCCGAGCATTATCCATGGCCGATCTAAACTCAGAAAATCAGTGCACAGGGCCCGGAAGCTGTGAGTGGCTTTTGACAAAGATCTTCATATTCGTTATGTTGCACTTATCTTGCATCCACTCATGCGCAGCATACGGAACTGTGAGCGGTGCTAGACTGCGTTCAGTGTCGCCTTGCACTAGACACGCATCCGCGGCTGAGCGATACAGGGAGCCTGCCGCTTCCTTGCCAGACAATGCAGCCTATCACCACAACATCATACAGCAGATCCAAACCTTAATATAGCAAAGTAATAAAGTCAAAATGACAACAACAACAACAACAACTACGGCGTTTGTACCCAAGTACCGAGGCACGTAGGTTTATCAGATCTTTACCAGAAGCAGCAGAAGCATTTCCTCACCAGATTCAACTCTATTCCAAAACAATACTATTGCACTAAAGAACAGGGAAAAACATCCTACAAACCCCACAACCAACATGCAAGCACCAACTAAAACCCCTCTCATCTCTCAACGGGTATCCGCAAAAAAACCCTCGCCTGCATCTCCGAGTGTCTCCCTACAAACCTCAAACACAGCTATCCGCTTCCGCAACCCCCGTCCCTCACCCACCCCTCACACCTCACCGGCGATCGACCAAAGCTTCGCCTATTAATCCCCTCAATTAACCCGACCGAGCAGTTTTTGTCTTTTCTTTCTCCTCTTCGCTTCCGACTTGGCTCTGCTCACAGGACATGGTAACTGCTGGTTGGTGATCCTTGTCACAAACTGGGATAAAAACCGTAACATATACGGAGGTGCCTTTCAAAAGTTATTGCTAGCGCGGTAGATCTATCGGCCCGATATTTCTTGGCACAGTCGGAGTTTTTGAAGCTGAAGATAGCAGTATCTTCGCTTTCTTTGGTGTTTCTCAAAGGTTAGTTATACTAGTAATGGCTCCTCGTTCTCACACAGACTCATTCACACGTGCTATAATTGTTACTTTAAAGTCCCGCTTTGTGGGCAAATCAACGAGCCAGATCAGCGAGATCCTGGGTATTTCCCCACGCACTATCGACGCTATCTTCAGCCGAGCCTGCCTTCGAGGCTTTGAGCCAAATGGACCAACCCTAAAGGTTCTTCCTGAACACCTTGAAGATGCTCCTCGCTCAGGCCGCCCACGTAAACAAGAGGCTATCCATGAACCTACTGTTGACAAAGTACGCCGTGACCGTTATGGACGAGAGAAGAGCTGTGCTGACATAGCTGGTGATCTTAGTCTCTACGGTTACGACGTCTCTCCTACCACGGTGTGGAGAGTCCTCAAGGCAGCAGGATACAAGAAGACGAAGCCGACGAGGAAGCCTGGGTTGACGAAGAAGATGAGACAAGATAGACTTACCTGGTGTCTCGCTCGTCAGCACTGGACTCTTGAGGACTGGAAGAACGTTATCTGGTCAGATGAGACCTCTGTCGTACTGAACCACCGCCGTGGTGGGTATCGGGTGTGGAGAAAGGCAGATGAGGCTCTTACAAGATCTGTGATACGAGAGAGGTGGAAGGGATACTCTGAGTTTATGTTCTGGGGCTGCTTCACGTATAATTACAAAGGTCCCTTTCATGTATGGAGGCCAGAGACAGCCCAAGAGAAGAGAGAAGCAGCTCTTAAGATTGAAGAGATGAATAAGATCCTAGAGCCTATTATGAGAGAGGAGTGGGAGCTTACTATAGGCATGAAGAGGATAGGCTTAAGGAATAAGCCTGGTAGAGCTCCTCAATGGAGATGGACTAAGGAGAATGGCAGAGATGTCAACAAGCAAGTCAAGCTGGCTTGATTCTTATCGATGCAGATCACAGACAATAT